CTCTCTCTCTCTCTCTCTCTCTCTCTCTCTCTCTGTCTCTCTAGCCTACCATTAAAGTTTACTACTAATGAATTTGATAGGTGTGTATGCAGATGTTTTATTCCTCAATATGAGTCCCCACTGTACTTGTGGCTATATTCTCCTTACAGAAAACTAAGAGTAAGAGGCAGATGCCCAGCATGACACGTGTTGTGTCTTGTACCTGTAGGCTGCTAGGAGTGACAAATTTTTCCAACTTTCATGATGTCCATGGCTCGGCATAAATTAAATAAAGCTAAAATTCATTCATTTTCAGGACATGCCAGGTACAGCAAAGGAGTTAATCTTCATGAAAAACTTTACACGTTTACTGTAGGGTCTTGCTTGTTTAGCTTTACGACTAGCACAATTTTTATTTAAATATTTTCATCATGCAAATTATGTCTTTTTTTTCTGTACAGTGCTGAACAAAGAGAGAAAGTTATCAAAGTCTTGGTAAGTGAATACCAAATTTTGGTACGACTTGAATAACTTGTACAATGTCAGCATAAATGGACAGAGTATTAAGGGATATATGTTCTCAACTTGTTGTTCTGTGCTTTTTCGTGAGGAAAAATTCCGAGAAATACCATTTTTTGCTCTAGCAGCTGATTTTGACATTTTTTGTTAATGTTGTGAGTAGAGTGTTTTTTCTTTTAAATATTTTCTCCGTCTTCTTAGGCTTTGTTCTGAGAAAGGAAGATTTTCTTTGTGTGTTTGAGTGAGCCTGTAGAGCAGGCCACGAGACTGAGACAGGTGTGTTCTCAGCAGGCAGGGACGGTGGATAGGTGGGCACCTTGTGCTGCGGAAGTCTGTCAGAGCGTCATGGCGCTTTGAATATATAATTAGGCACTATGCTCAATAATTGTTATCTTTATTATAAATTATTTTTATTATTATTATTATTATTATTATGATGATGTTATTATTATAAGTAATGCAGTTGAGTTTGTCTGCCTTCATTTCCAGGAATAAGATGGGCTTATTATATACCCACTCAATGTAGCTAGCTATTTTTTGTTGTTGTGTGGGGGGGGGGTGCATGTGATCAATCACTGACCAGATCTTTCCTTCTAATAATGGGGTCTTTGACAAACATCTTTTGCACTCCTAGTCCGCCCACACGTTAAACCCTTAGGGCTTTTTGGGGTCAAGGTTCGGTGTGTCTAATGCGAGAATATGGACTAGTAATCATTTATCTGTTGGGACGGGAAATCATCACATAACACTTCTTTGTTTCTCTGGTTTAATTTTAGATTTTCAAATCAACCTAACGAGGGTCGAATTTTTTTTTCGGGGTACATCTAGCTGGAAATCCATTAGATCTAGATTTACTTTCATAATACGAGATGTAAAGAACCTCTTTATTCACCCTTACAGATGCTTTTGCGTAATAAATGCATGCTTTCACGTGGCATAAACGTTCCACACTAATCTCATTTCGAAATGTACGGACACTCGATATTGCTGAGTATCGTGGTGCTAATCATAAAGAGGACATTCATCTACATATGTGAGGCATCGTGGTGAAATCAGGCGCTTGTCAAAATAATGAAATCTACGAAACTGCCACTTTTCCTCCAGTTTGGCAATTGTTATCGAATTTGTGGTTATTTGTTGTTGTTTTGTTTTTTTGGCTCAACACCTTTTATGTCCATTTAAAAAGATATTTCTGTGTGGTAATCACCGAGAGCGTCGATTAAAGGCACAAGAAATATAAATGTTTCGTTTCCGAGGACTCTCAAGATATGGAGGTGACCGAACTCAGTGGCCATTTTCTCGCTAATATTACCCCTAAAACTAGACGACCCCACCTCCTGCAAGGGCAAATTTCTCAACTTATATTCAAGTTAGATGGGTATTTTTTCACCAAATGCAAGACAAATGAACAAGCTTTAAGATGTTACCAATAACTCCATATGCCCGAAAACTGACGAGTGCCTGATTCCACTGCGTGGCATCACATATTTACAATACGACACCGAGATGTGACTAAATCAGGGCGATGATAGATGGTGTATACGCAGGGTCATTTCGGTATGTGCTGGCATATTCTCACTCACAAGCTGTCATAGAAGCTGTCATATTGCTTACCATATTGATGGTCACCTACTCAAAGGTTCCTTTAGGAATAGTCTGTTTTGTTTTGCAGTCGTTCTGGCATCGTCAAGTATATTTGTTTTTCCTATCAATTTCCTCGTAGAAGCGATTTGTTTCATACATGCATCGGTTTTTTTGGTGAATCTTTTTCCATAACGTGTTAGCGGAATCGAATTGCTTCGTTCACGTGTCCTGTCGTGACTTTATAAATGTTCAGTTATGAACTGCAAGCAAAAACGCAGAATCTGGCTATTACACCACAGACTTGGGTTTAGCTCCTACAAAGGCTAGCTGTAATCTCCGTTGGTAAAATGCTGGGCTCTGATGAGGATGGCTCAGGTTCTAATCACTGACTGGGCTGTCTTGAACTGGAGTTGTTTGGGATATTTTTTCTATCTTAACGCCTACTTGGTTCTACTCTATCGGAGGCAGACATTATTCAGAGTCCCAAACTCTTGAATAACCCAGAAAGGGGCGTTACTATGCACAGCCCTTCAAATCAAACATGATCTTTGTGGGTGGGTGGCGGGTGCTTTGGTATCGTTTGCTCCTTCTTTCCTACAAAACACCTATCGTCCTTATCTCTCATTCTTTTTTTTTGGTCTTTGATACTCTTTCGTAACACCTTTAATCTTAGGTACTTATATGACCTTATTGTGTTGCAAGTACCGTAAAACTCTTATTAAAACTAAACTAAAACATGGTCTTTTGGCTGATAAAGCTTTATTGACAGCAAAATATTAATTATTTTCTCACAGGATCGTCAGTTGGTGCACACCTCCTCAAAAATGTGTTTGGACGTAGGACTTCAAGGACCTGTGGTGAGGACCTGCAACCCTACTGCTATCACACAGAAGTGGTCGTTTCAACCCTTCCAGTTGCCAAGTATTACACCCAAAGCCTAACTTGTTATTGATCTGATTTAAAAACAACAGTGATATATA